CTTCCTCTGTGCCTCAGTAGCTTTATCTTAAAATGGAATTCCTAACAAAAACCCATTCAAACATGAGCATTAGTTAACATGAGGCCAACAGGCATACCTAGAACGAAGCAGCTTCCGCTTCAGTAGAGCAGTAAGATCTTTTTTAACTGACTTCAGCTGGTAGCTGATACTCCAGTCTGTAATTGTTACTTTTCAGAAAACTGAAAAAAATCAGGCAGGGAAATTTTGCAAGTAAGACTGAAGAAGCTTTGAGAAATCCATTTGCTGAGTCTGATGAGTAGAAAAGCAAGAAATATGCCTAGCTTAATCTTTCCTCTTTTCAATGCCATGGATTTTCAAGACATTAAAACCTGGCAAAGGAAAATTTTCTTTTACACCATGCATAATTTATCCTTGGACTTGGCAGAGCAAAATTAAAAAAAAAAAAAAAAAAAAGAAGAGACATTTATTTGGGTAATGGGCAGATCTTAAGTATTTCGTCTTTGAATAATCTTACAGAGTACGTGAAGCCTCAAAAACATAAGGCAGTAAATCTGAATGAACATTAACTGTGGAAACGGGAATACTGAACTTTCCCTGCCCTGTGAGGAAGAGAGATTGGTGGTCTGCTTAGCCTCAACCTGTGTAAATTAAAAGTCATCTATATGACGCTGGCAGCTCGCAACTCTTTGCAGCAGAGACTATCTGCTCCGCTCAGGATGGAAATCTTGGCTGTCGCTCTCAACAGAAAATACTGAACAGAGGGGACAGCGGGATGTCATCCGCGTCCCTCAAAGATCTCAGCCAGGACACATCAACTGACAGCTCAGCGTGGTCCACTGGTGTGGCTTTGAGGGGGAAAATCGTGGCAAATCACGGCACTCCACCGTGTTCCTCCTCCCCGTCTGACCACCGCCCGCCCTCTGTTCCGTGCTCCTACGGGGTTTCACGCGACGGAGTCCTGACTGTAGAAAGATTTTACGTGAGGTGGCAAGCCACTGGGAAACCTCTTGTACTGCTGGTGCTTTTTAGATAGGCAGATACATGCAGTTGCTGTGGCTGCCGCTCTTTTACCACTGCCAAGCTGACTTTAAATAACAGAAAAATATGGGCTGCTTAAATCTGCACTCCTTTTTTTTTTTTCCTTTTTTTTTTTCTTCCTAGAGCTCCTTCTATGGTTTTTGAGACTTGTCAGTCCAAATGTCCATCAAGATGACAAGTGCCTACGACCCTGCTTGCAACAAGGGAACAGGGCAGTCTTCATGCAGAAATTCTGGGTGAGCCAAACAAATTATGTGTTTGTTTTTGCTGGCAAATGCGACAGCAGCAGAGGTGTGGCTGGGACCAGGCTTGCCTGATGCTGAGGTCTGAGTGCTTTTCAGAGTCACTGGACAGAGAGAGGTCCTTTAGCATCTGTTTGATGACAGAAAAAAAGGATGAAGATGAGACCAAGACTTATTATTCTAACCTCTGTCCCTCACAGGCAGGAGTACTGTGCTACAAAGGTGACTATCCGTGTCTCTCCAGACATTGCCGCCAGCATGCCGACTTATCTATCTTCGTCTTACAGATTCAGATTATATTGCTGCTTCAGAATTGCTTAGTTGTTGAATAATAACTAATCCATTTGTGCCAGCCTACGTGTAGCTCCGCAGCAAGCCCTTGCCTGACACAAGGAAACCTCAACAAATCTAAAATGACTGGAGAGACCGTGTGTAAGTCTCCCAGCTCCAAAGGAGAGCACAAATGGCACAAATGACCTTATTGGCTCAAGTTATAAATTAAATATATAGATAGGGTTGGGCAGCAAGTGTGTGCAATAAAGATTTTATATCTTGCTAGTTTTGCTTGATATAACGGGTGTTTTTCAAAATGTTTCAGAGTTCAGGTTTTGTTCGAATAGATGTCCCATGTATTTGAACCCCGTGAGACTGAAAACCTCAAGCCACGAGTCTCACGTGACTTTCTTATGAGATTTCCAGCTTTTCTGCTTCTGGTCTTGGCTTGAAGTACCATGAGAATATTTTTTTTATGGTATTTCAACACTTCTAGTTTCAAATTCTAGACTTTATTGAAAAACCCTAAGAAAAGCTTTAAGGGGTCGGGTGGGTTTATTATTTAAACTAAAAATGGGATAACGCTACAGATTTGCTTTCACAAATGCATGTTTTTGGAAATAAATAAGGGTTTGGGTCCAGGCATTTGATTTGAATTATCCTCTAATTTTAACCTGCTTGGGACATTCTGTATCTTTCTTATACAGCATTCATGTGGGAGAACAAATAACTATTTGCTTCAGCTAATCAGCTATGCTGATGTTCCAAGTACAAGAAGAGGTAGACATTGCCATTCACTGGCCCACCGAACACACCAAAAGCTCAATAGTCTGAAAAACACTGTGCTTCCAAATTCAAGTGTCGTCTCAATGTCTTCAGGACCACTGCAGGCTGAGCTGAGGACTGTTAGCTCCAGTTTTCCCTACCACCGCACACCCTTTTGCCTGAAGGCTGGAAGAAGCAAGCCCTCTGCTTGATGTGACTTCTTAGCACCTCAAAACACCTCTAAGATGTCTCTCTGAGGCAGCAAGTGCTGCGAGGAGAGTTTACCAGCCCATGTCGGACCTGAAGTGCTCTTGGTTACTTCACCAGAAAAAAACGCTGACTTTACCAGGTCTTTTACAGCTTTCTTGTTCTCTGACATAGCTTCATCAGGCTGGTGTTGACTGAGGAAATACTAGTGAATCTGCCCAAAGACACGATTCTTACTCTTACAGATTTTTACTTTTGATCCTGCAAGATCAGCAAGATCTGTAAATGGGCACTTTGTAATAGGTTTCCTAGGTGTACTGATATTACGCAATAATTTCCGTGCATTGAGAACAGGGCCGAATGGAGGGGGAAAATCATCTGGCTTGTTCTGCCTCTGTGGTCTGTCAATGCAAAACACAGGCTTAGGTCCTTCTATTCTCCTCCTTCACTTTGAGCTCAACGTTTCCTTACAGTGGCAGTGCTTGATTAGCATCCTGGCCACATACGGATGTGAAGCGCATTTACACCCTGGGGCTGCTTTCTGCTTCCAGGACTGTGCAAAGCAACAGCATTGCATGAACTCCAAGGATCAGATTTTACTTTTGCAAATTGTCCGATAATGTTCTAGCTGCGAATATGTGTTTGCAGCAGGAAAAAAAATCTCATTCATGCATAAATAAGACAGAGTAAAATGAAATTCTCTTGGCATTGGGGGCTTAATGCTGAATGAGAGATGAATAAACGATTCCTCATCAATAAGATCAAGGTGTCCTTTCAAGACCCTATCCTGTAAGAGTTAACCTTATCTGAAGGCCTTTCCCTTTTCAAGCCAGTAGATATTCAGCACAGGAGCTGACATTGAGACATGAGTAAAGGTTTATGTGGTGTTTCAAGAAGCTGCATTCTTAACTTGGCAGGCTCAGGAGGAGTTATGTCAAGAACTGCTTATTTCTAATATTGTACAGAGAATTCCTCCCACTACTTCTTCCAGATGCTGAACAGCTCATTTATTTATTTATTTGGATTAGCTATATTAAAATATAACATACATCCAAATGCTTTTCTCCCAAATTCCCAAAGGATTGCCCTTTCTCACGGGGATGTATGTCCTTAAGTCATTTAATATGCTAAACTTCCACCGCTCAGAATGAGGGTAAAGTTCCTGACTCCAGGGTACCCAGGATCTCGTACAGAGCTTCGAGCACTTGGTATTGAAGGAGTCAGAAGAGGAATGTGGCATAACACTGGGCAGGGAGAGAGCAAAATGTCTGCAGCTTTTCCGGTGACTTGTGGCACTGATGTGACTAGCAAGCACCTGAGCAAGGAGTTACTGAGGTTTTAAGCAGGTCCCTGCTGGACTCAGAGCGAGGAAAACAAGTGGATGAGTGAAAGTGACCTCTTTGAGCCTTACTTGATGATGGCTTACCTAGTTTTGAATTTTATTAGACCCGCATCAAAGCACAGAGGCCTTCCAAACAAACCTGGGGTGCATGCAAATTTTCATTTTGTTTTGTTTGGAGATTTGGGCGGTTGGTTGTACATAGAAGAACAGTTCTGGTTGGTCTCTGAAGTTAGGTGGAGTGCAGCCACTTAGATCAAGTTTCCCTTGGCAATGGAGTTAACTGAAATCCACGGCACAAAGGGAAACTTAGAGTGACTCCAAGCAGGGCAAGAGCCAAGATCGTGGTTTTGCTCTGCCCTGTGAGCCGAAGCGACTGCTTTTCCAGACAGGTTGAGGACAAGCAACCGTGTGGGCGTTACAGAAGAGCAATTCCCCACCCGGTGCAGCCCAGGAATGAGAACCAATGAGGCTGCCCAGCTGAAGATACAAATCCAAAGACCTGCTTGTTCTCTTCAACAAGGCGTGCAGGACCTTGCCAAGCCAGGACCTGGACATGAACAAAAGAGGGAAGGTATGGTAGGAAAACGTTCTTGTCCACAGTCCCTTAATGAAAAGTAACAGAGATCTGTAAACACTGTCCCAAGACCTGAGCCTCCCAACCTCAGCTCTCCCAGCTGTTGAATTGAGGTTTAGCTTTTTTGGGGGGGGGAGCAGAATCACAAAATGGCTCTAAATACGGAGCTGTCTGAAAGTACCCATGCTGAAATCAGCACGGGGTCTTTGTAGTTTGCTCTTTCTCCCCCATTGCACATAAATCAGAGCAGTAGGGACTTTGAAACAGGGGAATACAGTGAAAAATAAAGCCTTTAAGTATCAGGCAAATGACTCGCAGAGGCCAGTCTCTCGGAAGACCGTGGGGTGCTCACCATCCACTGAAGCCATTCACAGTCTTTAAGGGGCTTCATTCAGGCTACCAGCACTGAAAGACATCACTCCTCACAAACTTTGGCCCTGTTGTACAGTATGCTATTTGTTTCACCCGGATCCTTTCAACTGTTGTAGCATCTACTTCTACTTCCCAATAAAGAGAGCAACATCCCGTTAGCAGAGCCACGAGTTTGCCAGCCTGCGCGCTAGGCACATTCAGTCCTTTAGACGTCCTCCCCGTTTTCACTGAGGGAGATGGTGTGTATTTTGATGGTTGGCACTTTACAATTTTCATGGACAAGGTTTCCTGAAGTGCCTGCACAGCAGCATTCCTGGAGGAAACCTTTACTTTTCGCTTTGGCAGCAGTACAGTCTTTAGAAACTGCATTTTTTGCAGGCATGCTTTGCACAGCGGAGAATATCTTCCATTCGCAGACCCCGTCCGACTTGGAAATCTTATAGAAGGTTTCTCCCGAGCCAACAGGGATACGGACCACACCTTTGCCACTCTCCATGCTCTGGCTAGTGGGATGGTTGAGGTTGAAGCTTGGGGATTGCTTCTTTGCTGCTTGCTTCCTTGGGAGGCACTGCGCTCTCAGGACGTTTTGGAATGCTTTCTTAAACTCTTGACTTGAGCACGGATAGATTATGGGGTTGATGCAGCTGTTTAAATATCCAAGCCAAAATGTTATTTTAAAAAGTGTGTCCGGGGGTTTGATTGCAGGAAAGAACGAACCTAAAATGGAAAATACACAGAGTGTTAAGGCAGAGGCAGTGAGAAATTGCAGGTAACCAAAGAAACTCAAACACAAGAAAAAATAAATAAGGTTCTGTTCTGTCTTGGAAAATCTATGACTCTAAGACCAACTCCTGCAGGAATAAGTCTTTCAGAATATATGGTGTCATATAATTACATGGATGGTCTATCAGAAATCAGTTCAAGACATCTACTTCATTATACAAGTGTTGTTTTCCCATTTACAGCCAGTGAGGCAAGCAAGAGGGACTGGTATCAAGTGATAGAGGAAAAGTGTTTCTTCTGGGACTTTTAATTCTGGATTAGTTAGCCATATAACAGCGATACCTAGGAGGTCATCAAAAAGGGTTTCAAATGACAAGAAAATCACACCACTTCAGAAGTAAGAGTAAGTGAAAAGTAGGGTTACTGCGTTGACTGCATTCCAGCTCGAAGTCTTAAAAACGGTAAAGTATTGAGTACTCATTTTCCCGTGAAACCTTTATCTAACTAACTATCCATATTTTTCTGTCTCATAGAATGCATCTAAAATTCAGAGAAGTTAAAGAAAATGTTCCTTCTTACGTAAATGAACATTGGTGAGGGTCTTATGGGCAGCCATGATATATAGATAGAGATATATATACACACACACTGTTATATATTTGCAAGGTTACCTCCCAGAGATGACTCAAAGAGAAAGAACTTAGATGGCTCCTTAGTAAGGGAAGTACTATGGGACTTTTTACTCTATAGAAGGCAGGGTAACATGCAAAAAATTTGAAATCTTTTGACAAAGACAAAGCTTATTAAGCGTATCAGTGACAGAGCCATAAACGGTGCACTCGGTGGTCCTCACTGTCTTGGCACAGCAACAGTTAACTACAAATGACCATGCAAATTGAAAATTAAATAATATCACTAACATAGTTTTTTAAAAATAATTATATATGATAATGTAGGGGTCAATTGTGAGTTATCTGCTGATTTAAAATCTTGGGAACATTTTTCCTAATGCCAAATTTTTTTTTTTTTTTTTTTTTAACTACAACTTAAGCTCCTTACTTCTTGTATAAGCAAGTTTTTAAACTTTAGATGAGATGATTTGAATAGGATGTCAGTAAATGCTTAAGAGATTTACTTATGGAGAGATGTTATTATAAAATCACGGAGACATATTTAAGATATCAAAGAGTCAACACTGCTGCTTAAGGAAAATTGTTTAGAAATTTGTTGCTTTTCTTGAATGACATTGGAAAGTGGCCATTGTAACAAGATCCTGTAATTCTCTTACTTAGTACTTCTTACTTAGAAATAAAAACAATGTTGTCTGAATGTGAATGAACCAGAAAACTAAACTCCCTGTGATGCTGGAGTGGGAATAAGTGATACAGCACTTCTAAGACCTATTTTGCAAAATGACTCCAGAACCAGAGACAGAGAAAAATATTTGCCATATGTTGTCAATGGGAAAACTCCATTTCTTGCCTTGTTTAAAAGAAAGGGGGGCGAAAAAAAGTGGTTCTTCATACCAGTGTAAGTAATTGGTTCGGACACGGGAAGAAAAATAATTTCCCAGAAAATGTAATTGGCTTGTTTTGGACTTTATAGTCAAGTTTATAAAAACCAAAGCTTTCAGCACTGACAACTGCTTGTCTTCCCGCTTCCCCCTGGAAAAATCGGAAGCATGTGCATGTTGAAAGAAATATTGTGGAATATTTAGGCATTGACACATCTGTCATCCTCTGCGGCTGTCAGCAGCTCCTAAGCTTTACAGGGATCGATCTGTTTGTTGGACCTCCCCTGGCTTCGGAAAAGCTAATAATGCAATCAGTTCTAATTGCATTCCGAGAGCCGCTGAACTTCAGTTTGGACCTTGTTCTTCCCAAGGCGTCAAACAAAGCTACAGCAAGCGCAGCAAACGCTTCCAAACAGCAAAAGCCGGAGAGGAATTCTCAGGGTGTTTTTGTCTGTGTGAGAACGTATTAAAACATTGCCTGAACCAGAGACACAAAGAGCGTGGTGCAATTAACGACTTGCCCGTTCTGCCGAACGCGGTCTCCGTGTGAAACGCGAAGCAACGTCTTCTCGCCGTGGCACCGGCTCCTACTCTCTGAGCGGAGCCGACGGGCCCGGGGGACACGCCGCTGTCGGGGGGAAAAGGCGATGCGGCAGGGTGAGAAGCCTTCCCGTTGCCTGTGAGCTGGGGGAGGTCCCCGCGACCCCGGCCGTCTGGTGCAGCCGGAACGCCCGAAGGCAGCGCGGAACACGCCACGGGAGCTGGTCGTATCGCCCAGGTACCACCTGGGCATCAAGCACGGGTCTCGCTGCCTCCGTGAGGGCTTCTGCCTTGCTCCGAGATGGCTAGGTAGAGCCGTTTCACGATGAGTTTCAATATCAACCGGTTTTTAAGACCAAAACCATGGTGCTAAAGAAAAGAAACGCTGCTTTGCAGCTAAGCACGAGCGAGCGGGCGTATCCGCGACCTAGAATTTTTCTCAGCGAATTAATGTTGCTTTCCTTCGGTGAAAAACAACTAACGTTCTCAAAGAACTTTCTGGCTGAAGTCACTGGCAGATGAAAAATAACGAAAGGCTTCTAAACGCCCAAATCATGCTCAATTTTTTTCTTTATTCCCTCATTTAATTGCGGCATATCTACCGCTTTCCCATTTCGTGTTAAGGCAAAAGGTGAAACTAACCTCGGTTTAGGGAATCAGCTGTGTGAGGCTGAGTGTAAAAATGGGTAAACAATAACAATTCCTGTTTGCTGCAACTCCTGGCTCACTCCAAATGGAATGCTAGTGCCTTGCCAAAGTCTGTTAAAAATAGAAAACAGCCAGTGTCAGAGTCTGTCTCTTGCTCTTTTTTTGGGGTGGGGATCTGCATGCTAATTTATTAATGTAACCTTTTTTGGTTCATCAGTGCAGAGACTTGTTGCCTTGGAACAACACACAGTGAAAAGAAAATGAAGTAGCTTTAACAGCGCACAGACTTCGCTCTCTGTAGACCCCACCACGCTCTTTAACACTTTCTTCTTTCCACTGGTGGATACGACTTGGGCTTTAGGACAGTGCCTTTGGTTGTGCCAGACAGTGATCTTTCCTAAGTTTAGACCAGCTAAAGCTCTGTCTCTGAGGCTTCATTATAACTGTGTGTTGTCCTCTGAACGAAACAAATGTCGATAGGAAGAAATATTGTCAGTGGCACCTTGAAAGGGCTGAGGCTGGAACTGATAGTCAGTGGACCCGATACATAACAGAGCTAGATGTAAAATCAAAGTACAAATAATTTGGACCCTTTTCTTACTTATGCTGACACCTTATTCAACTTCCAGAGCAATATAAATCAGGACGAGCATATCTAAACCTTGAGCCACTGAATTATTGTGTAGGGTGGAAAAAAAAATTACACCTCCTGCATCTTCTCTGTCTAATGAGCAAAATCCTTCTGTATGTTGCAGGACTGCTATGAGGAACTATTGACATGTCAGCATGTGCATGGCCACGGAAAGCAATGCCCTTCTATTGCAGACACCTGGTTGCCTCTCTAGCTCAGAAACTTTCCCTAACCTTTTCTGTTGGCTACCTGAGTATCTGGCAAAAAGGGAAAAATATCATATTCTCCAGGTCCTTGGGGAATTGTGTTCCTCTCCACAGAATACTGAGAAAGTATTTTTTTCTTCCAGGCCTTTAATATTCAGTGATGTTACTGTCATGATTAGTATCAGTGGTTGATGTATCTGGTAGCAAGCGGGCGTCATTCTCAAGCGGTGCTGCTAAGCCTGGTGATAAAGTGTTTTGTTCAGTCTGCTGAAACGTCGAAACGGGCAGGGGCTGGCAGCTCAAGTCCGATGAGTTCAAAGTGGAAATCAAACATAGGCTTTGCGTTTTTTTTTAAACGATGACCACAATTAACCATGAGATTAAACAACGAAGTGAGTGAATTTTCTGTTCTTTAAGGTATAGAGCTAAGACTATTTCTTACGTAGCAGCGAGGCAGTACAGAGAAACCAGGTGGAACTGGGGCGAGCAGTTCAGAGCCCATGTTCATTCAATCCTTGACCACTTGCTGGCTGCCAGTTAGTGTCAACTTGGGTTTGGACACTTGCCTACTAGAAGCCAGGACTGAGAAAACTGAATTCTTACAGCACCTAATTCTTCAGAGCAAGCTTCCAGTTCTCTCACTCTAGGCTAGGTGTAATCATAGATTAATGACGTGCTGCCACCCAAGTAGCCTCTAACAGAGCTGGATAGTGAGCAGCAGTTGGGAAGTGAAAAGTTTTCTTTCTTAAAACTAATTCTCTATCCTATTCACAGGCCTTAATGTCTTCCTTGCGCTACGCTGTCAGGAATAAAATGGCAAATAGTGGCCAAACTGGTTACAGTTTAGAGGCTGCATCTCCCATTGTCTCCTTGCAGCCTGTGCTGGAAGAACAGTAAAGAAAGCTTCAACTGGTTTTTTAATGCCTTTGAATTGTAGATTGACTAAATGATGCTCGAATTCCTGCTTTGTTTTCAGAAGGTTGAGGACTCTCTAGTGTCAGTAGCACAATTCAATTGCTTGTTGTATGAAAATTAAATAAAATAAAATGTACCATTAGCCTCCTGAGATCCTTTGCCATTAAGTATTTCATCACTTACCCCTGAAAATGTCAGGATTGCATTCCCTTCCCTCGTAATTTATTTTCCTGTTTGTCAACTCGAGTTTCTTCAGATCTGAGAGATAAGTTTTCCATGTACCTCCTGGTGAGTAAGTGCCAATTCAGTCACAAAGATGTAATTTGACTTTGTCATTTGTCAGAAGTTACAGAGCTGCTTGATTATAGGTTATTTAAAAACCAGTACTGATGTCGTGCGTCGTTTCTCTGACGGACACACAGCACAGAGAAGCTGCCAGACCACAGCAACTTGTTATTTGTTTACTCTGTGTCATCTCTGTCAGCACCACGGGAATAAGATCCCGTACATTTTTATGACACATGAAGCCATAGTGGTGTTA